GATATAACTGAACTTTAAGACATGACATTTGCCTGTTTTCAGTAATTGGTGGCGTTCTCCAAAATACCACAAATATAAGGAATGAGCACACATTAGTAGAGGCCAGCTCCCTCAGTGTTCAAGTGTGTGTGATGCAGTGGACTTCAAGTGGATCCTAGCTTCCCTTTCTACCCAAACTCCACTGCCAGCCACAGAAGCTTGTGAGATGCAGAAGAGTTTTCTCCCAGTAAAGGCCAAGACAAAAGAGGCATTGAGTATCTCAGCCTTTTTCTTGCCCTACACCACTACGTCAACTACTCGGTTCTGCAGCAGGCACACATTTTTCTTCACCTGATGTTTCCGTAGAAGCTCTTTTTGTTGCACCTCAATTTTACTTCTGATTCTACTCCAGACCAGCTTTGGCTTCCCAGATTTCACTCCTTCACTAAAATACTGATTACCCTCTGCATAACATGATGGAATCACATCTCACTGTGGTTTAGTTACAAATCCTCTATTTACTGAAGGCTTTCTAGGAATGTTATTTAAGACAAGTGGCTGTTTTTCATCTGTAGCTCTTTTGAAAATTGCAAGCATATAGGTGCTGTTCAAACATTTATTTAGTTGGTGCCATGGAAAGTACCACTGTTCCAAACAATTCTTTCTTCATTTTTTTCTTTGCTTTTAGTGGGTTTGCTTCCAGTAACCCAAATTCAGTACAGAAGAAAAGGAAGCTTAGATTTGGGAGAGCTGGTAGCAGTGGTGGAACTAGATGATCTTTAAGGTCCTTTCCAATGCAAATCATTTTATGATTCTAAGTGTACACATACACATCTGATAGGAGGAATCAAACAGTTCATTACCTTCATTATGCAGTTTTGAATACTAATCCATCTCTCCATAGTTTTCTTTAATATTCTGTAGTATTTCAGCTCTGCCTAAGCAGCTTTGCATGATTACCAAAAAAAAAAAAAAAAAAAACAAACCCACAACAAAACACTGCCCCTTAATGAAAGAGTTCCTTCCTATTATTCAGATGTGGACTTCCTGCCCCATCCTCTAAAGCAAAACATACTGTACTTCAGTAACATGGTTGATAATCTGACAGTTGCCTTTAAGGCTGACAACATTTTCTTTATAATCCCTTTTCTGGTTGTTTATAAATTTGTTGATTTTTAGTGCTGAGCTTTTGCATTTATTCCCTGCTTCTGGAAAAATTTGAAGTGGTCTGGGTATGACAGATGGGTGCCTCTTATTACGGCAAACTCCTCTATCACAAATGAGATGTTACTTTTAACCACTGATTTGTCTAATTACTCAAAAAACTGCAGGCTTGTTTGGATTTCCAGCTGTGTCTCACAGGCATGTAAAATAGAAGGTTTCAAATCAAGGTTCAGCTGATGAAAGATTTCCCAAGAAAAGTGTCATTGCACCTTTCCCAAGTCTCCTGTTCCTTTTTGTAACATAGGAAGCAGGGTTCACTGGCCACAGATCTGCCTCTCTGGATCCTCTCCTGGTGAGCAGGAAAGCCATAGGTGATGAAAAGAGTAGGAACTGCTCTCTCTAGTAACATTCCATACGTGTGCTAGGACTGAGGCGTGTTCTCCACACCAGGGTACCTGAATCATCCTTCTTCTATATGTTTATGTCATCTGGAACCCCAAGAAACTTTCAAATGTTGCCTTCCTGGCAGAAGAGCCAAGGGCCTGTGCCATTCTGGCAACACCAAGCTTCTTCTTCCAGCTCTTTGTGTTCCTGCTGGAATATTTCCTCCCCCAAGGAAGGAAAGATGGCAGGGTAGGGGCTGTTAAGAACTTTCACCATGACCACTGCAGCAACACATATCTCTTAAAAGTGCTATTTTATATTCAACTTCAAATATTACTCTTACACCCTGAGAATACTTGATTGAAATGACTGAGGTGTGTTGCTACTCCATGAGACGTTTTCCTATTACAAATAGGCATATAGAGCTGCTTACCCATACATCATCACCCAGCTACAGTATAGGGATTCTTCACTTCTTTCATCACAGATGTACTCTTCACAGCCTCATCAGTTTCGTTCCTCCCTCCAACTCCTCCGATGTGATTGACATAGCACAGGAGTTGGTGTGTGGGAGCATTAGGCTTACACGCAGCTGATTAAAGCAAGGACTGATGAGGAAAGACCAGGCTCTGTAGGCAGTATAAGAACAGCATGGCAGATTTAAGCAGCTGGAGGAACAAACTGATGTGGTGGGGAGAGGTTTCTACTGCCACTACCGCCACCGTGAATGAGAAGGAATGAGGGGCAACTTTACCCTCTTGAAAACACTTGTTTTGTAAGTGTCTCCATGGGCCCTGTGCTGCAATGCGTGCTGCTCCTGTAATGTTTGCCCAAATATTTGAATTATAGATTCAATGGTGACAACTGGAGAATGAGAGTGATAAAGGAGTAACACCTCAAGCATGATGAAGAGAGAGAGAGGAATGGAGACAAAAGGAGTTATGGCAGTGCTGAATTAGTTAATACTCAAGCAATATGTTCTCCAGCAGTGGCTGGTGAGGTATAGGATACAAAGCCAAAACACTCCTCTCAGTGTTGAATTTAATCCTACAGCCACACCTGGGCTGGACTCTGTGTGACAAATCTTTTTCCAGCCTCTCCCTTTGGTGTAAGAGTGTTCCAGCTGTTACCAATTAAACAGCTTTTGAGATCTCTAAACAGGGCCTAGCTATAATATCTGCTTCATCTGCCACCATGCAGTCTTTTCTTACAGAATCAGAATGGTTTGAGTTGAAAGGGAACTTAATGCCCACTCAGATCCAAACCCCAGCCATGGGCAGGGCTGCCCTGGGCCCCACCCAACCTGGCCTTGAATGCCTCCAGAGATGGGGCATCCACAACTTCCCTGGGCAGCTTGTGCCAGTGTCTTGGCTCCTTCTCCTTCTCTGGTTTAAATTTTTTTTGATAGTTTTATCTCTTTGCAGACTTCTACACTGGTCTTGGGCTGGTTTCCCTCGGTCAGACTTCTTCAAATTTGCACTCCAAAAAAAGCACTGCTGTCTCAACAACTCTTAACCTTTGTTGGAAATATCCAATGTTCTTAAAACCGTGGCTTCTGAAAGATGATGATTAGATGTTCACTTCAGCTTTTATTCATGAAAAAGAGTTTGCTTTGGGATTTGGAGAAAAGTTTGAAAATATGGAAGTTGAAAATTCCAGACTCTAAAACCAAGTAACATACAACATATTATTTCAAGAGACTATTTTCAAACACCAATCTTTTATTAGTCTCATAATTCTTTACCAGAGGCTTGACTGCAGATTCTAGTTTCCATTGCACAGAAGTGGGACGAAAGGAGACAACCCCAAAGTATCCATTCTCCTCTGACAGGTTATCCTGATGGATGGGCCCGTGCCTCAACATTTCTGCACCGCTTACAGGTATGTAGAAATGCCATTTTCTTTCTCTTTGGAGCTAACACATATTATGACTAGACTTGAACCCTACAGTGACCTGGCTGGGCAACAACAGGATGCTACTTTACTGAATATTTCTCCTTTTTTAAAAAACAGAACAAATAACCAAAATGATAATCATAGAATCATAGAACCGCTTGTTGGGAGAGACCTCAAAGATCATCTACTTCCAACCTCCCAGCTGTGGGCAGGACTGCCCCCCACCTGCTCAGGCTGTCCAGAGTCCTATCCAACCTGGTCCTGAGCACCTTTGGGGATGGAGCATCCATCACTCATCTGGGCAGCTATGCCAGTGCCTCACCACACTCTCTGTGAAAACTTCTCCCTGACATCTAATCTAAATCTTCTCTCCTTTAGTTTTAAACCATTCCCCCTTGTCCTATCACATCTACTCATGTAAAAAGCTGATTTCCTTCCTGTTTATAACCTCTGTTTAAATACTGGAAGGCTGCAATGAGGTCTCTCTGCAGCCCTCTCTTCTCCAGACTGCCCAAGCCCAGTCTGTCTGTAGGAGAGATGCTCCAGCCCTCTGATCACCTTTGTGTCCTCCTCTGGGCCCTCTCCAACAGCTCCACATCTTTCCTGAGTTGGGGGGTCCCAGACCTGGATGCGGCCCTCCAGAAGGGACCTAACAACTCTAAGAAAAACCTAGCTTGCTTCAGGAAATTCCAGCAGCCCTCTTCCATCCCTCTGGAGGACGAGGATGGCCCACCTTGACGGGATCAAGGCCTCATTCACACCAAACACCTACACCTTCACACCTCTCAGCTACAGACACGCACCGCAGGGCTGACAGCAGCGGACACTGCCCATACCGCACTCGCACAGCCCCCGACGTGCCCCCGGACACCTACAGCCCTCACAGAGGAGTCGAGGGACCCCGACCCACGCCCCCTCAGCGGCCGCCCGAGAGGCCCGGAGCGCGGCGGCGAGGTCTGCCCCGGCGGCACCCCGTCCCCTATAGGGCCCGTCCCCCACCCCCAGCCCCGGGCGGCGGAAGTGTGTGTAGGGGGCAGTATAGGAATTTCCTGTGACGTCCCGGCCCGGACTCCATTAGGCTGCAGCTGGGCTGAGAGAAGACAAACCCAGCGGGCAGCGAGCGGAGCAGGCCAGGCGCCCGGGGCTGCCGGGCGGGGGCTCGAGGCAGCGGCGGCCGCCATCGCCAGAGGGAGCCCCGAGCGGGTGGCGGCGCTGCCTCCGGGACCCCCGGGGGCGCAGGGCCCCGCTCCGCCTCCCCTCACCCCCGCCGCCCCTTGCCTCCCCCCCCCCCACCCTTCTCGCCCCCCCGGCTTCCCACCACGGCCGCTCTCGGCGAGGAAACTCTGGCCTCCGCTTCCTCCTCCTCCGACTCGGACACCGGCGGAGCCTCCCCGCCCCCGCGGAAGAAAGCCCGGGCCTCCCCGGCGGCGGCGGCGGAGGGAGCAGGAGAGCCCGGGGCTTCCGCGGGCAGAGCAGGCCTCACCTCGTCCCAGTCCCCCTCGCTCCCCGCCGGGCTCGCCCCCGCCGCCGCCCCGCTCCGAGGCAGCGGCAGCAGCACGAGCAGCGGCGGCAGCGCCATGCAGGCCAACGGGGCAGGAGGGGGCCAGCAGCAGCAGCAGCAGCAGCCGCCGCAGGGCCCGGAGCTGGGCTGTCTGGGAGCCCAGAACGGCGAGGCCTCGGCGGGCACGGCCGCCGGCGAGCAGCTGGCCCACGCCAACGGGCTGCTGCCCTCGGCCAACAGCGGCGGCGGCAGCCCCGGCGGCCTCAGTGTCAACAACGGGGTGCCCGCCGCCGGGGGGCCCGGCACGGCCGCCGCGGAGCTGGGGGGCGGCGGCGGCAGCGCCCTGAAGAAGAAGAAGCGGCTCTCGCAGTCCGACGAGGACGTGATCCGGCTGATCGGGCAGCACCTCCACGGCCTGGGCCTCAAGTAAGTGGCGGCGGGGGAAGGAGGGGAAGGCGGCCGGGCACGGGCCCTCTGCGGACCGGGGCGGCGCGGGGAGGGGAGGCGAGTGCCAGGGCAGCGCTGGGGGCTGGCGAAAATGGAGCCCGGACGCGTCGTGCTCCCCGTGCCGCTCCGCTCGGCGGGCCGGGGCGGTTCGGGAAGGGACGGCAATATGGAAGCCGGGCCGCTCACTGATAAGGCGGATCGATAGCAACGTGTTAGCGGGGGAGAAGTTATCGGGTACGCGTAATGGAGCCCGCGGCTGGGCGTGGGGGAAGGCTTCTCGCAGATGAGCTCCAAGGTTTCGCTTGTCTGCTGGCAGCAACCGAACTCGGCCGAAACGGGCTGTTGTGTTCCGCTGCAGAGCCTTCGTCCCCGCCGATGGCAAAGGTGTCAGCCCCGTGTTTTGTTGTAGGCTAGGAGCAAGCGCGTTGACTCCCTCTTAAAATCAGAATAGGGGAAATAATTTTACACAGAAGAAAGGTGAATCTGAGAATTTAATCGCGACGTTTGCTTTGTGAGCGAGGCTCAAACCACCGCATCGTGATTCTGGAATAGGAGCCCTGCGAAGCCTTCACGTAGCTACTGCAAAACAAGTCTTCAAAACACAGTGGGCCGGGTCAATTATAAAGAACTTAGCACGCTAAATGAACTGCCCCTGACACAAGAGGCAAGTTTACAGCAACAGGCAACTCGTGACTGTTCATAGACGGCACCACAGTAAATAAGCTATTTTTAGTGTAAAGGGGGGGAGGGCTGCAGGTCCGTGAGTTTGTTTATTATATTTTAAGGAGCCAGTCTTTTAATACAGGCCTGTTGCAGAAGTGCATAGCTCTGTGCTCGTTTATGGGAGGCGGGGGGGAGGGGGGGGAGGGGGGGCAGGGGTTGACAGCCAGTGGCTAACAGCTGTAGTCTGTCTCTTCCTTCACGAAGGCTATCTGCTATGCAGGGCTGGCTGTTTGGTGGCTGGTAAGTCACATCCTTCATGGTACTTCAGTGAAGCTCTCAAGCTAATTGACTACTTGTTTTAGACATAGGCAGCTGCTTACACGTCTCAGGCAACTGAGATAACCTTTTGGACAAGCATCTGAATCTGGTGGTAGTCTTCTTACTTTAATAAAGTTACTTTTAAATGTGGTTAATTGTTATCGTAGCAGGCGGTATATTTGTGAGGGTGAAACTGGTCGGGTTTTTTTACACTGTATCTCTCCTGCAGCCAGACTGTTGATCTTCTCATGCAAGAGTCAGGATGTCGTTTAGAACATCCTTCTGCTACCAAATTCCGCAATCATGTCATGGAAGGAGAATGGGATAAGGTAACGTAGGGCTTCTAGGACTGTATTAACCAATGTTTAAATTTATAGTATCTGTGAGAGAATTCAAAATCCACCCTCCTTATATACTTCTTTTTTGTTTGTTTGTTTTTCTTATGCCGATTTCTGCAGGCAGAGAACGACCTGAATGAACTTAAGGCCTTAGTGCATTCTCCGCATGCAATTGTGGTAAGAGGCACACTTGAACTCTTTCAGAGCTGTATAGTTGGGCTAGTTGAATAGCGTGATCTTTCACTATGGAGTTAGTTCTTATTTTCTTTGTCGTTTAAGCAGCTTGCATGCTATCTCAAAATGTACTAATCTTTTCACTCTTTTCTAGAATGTGAGATAGGAAACACCAAAGTATTAAGCCTAGTATTTGTTTTAGTGAATAAATGTTGTTAAGTATACTTAAATGATGAAATATAGATCCTCTAACAGGCCTAAAATAGGTCTGTTTCCATGGAAATTGTCTGTGTTGAATACTGATTTCAAACTTGGAATCCTTCTCACAGTTGTTGTATTTATTGGAGTTAGGTTTCTCTTAAAGAAAGAAAAATCTGGAAGTAAAGATGCAGTAACGCAAATGTAGAGTTGGCATTGTCATGGCACATCCTGGGAATATAGAGGCTGCTATAGAACACGAACAATACTGTTGCTTTTCCAGATGGCTTCTAAAAGAGCAAATGTATTTGTATTGCTGTTTGGGATTTTATTTGGAGCTTTTTCTCTTTGGCTGGCTTTTTTCAAAGATGAACCTAGAAATAGACGTTTGCAGATCCTGTGACTTGACAATTACAATGTCTGTTGTTATGATTTCAGTTACTTTGAGGAAAGTGTTTCTTGGCTCTCTTTTTCTATTTTCAGATCAAAAATGATTACTTAGCTCTGCAGACTGCCTGTTCTGTTGCGCTTAAATGTTTATTCTAATGAAATGAAGTTAGGACAACTAGAGTCGCTTAGGGAGAAAAAAGTGGCAGTGCTTTTTGAAGTGCCTGTGACTGTAAACAGTGAAGAATCAGCTGATGGCTGCTTAGCTCTACTTCTAGCTGATTCATTTGTTGTCAAGACAATTTCCTGTCCAGTGGGGGAGGGAAAGAAAGAGAACAGGAAGTGAAGTAGGAAAAACAGATGTTTAGCAAAACATAGGAGAATTTTTAAGAGAAGTTTACATTCTGCGCTATTGATCTGGCCAAAACATGACAGTTCCTAGTTAGACCAGTTGTTCATTTTTTCCTGTTTCGGACTTGAGAAAATGAAGCTCTGTTCCTCAAATACTTGAGAGCATTGCATGCAGTTCTTGATTGTCTGTAAGCGCTGGAAGTTTGAAACTGCTGCATGAAAATATGAATGTGATCATTTGAAGCAAATTTTCTCATGTTTCTCCCTTCAGAAGTTAAAAAGTTTCTTACTATTAAAGTGTTTCTTGTCTCTAGGAGTTGAGAGTTTTTAAGTGTCTGTCATTACTGTACTTTTCAGAAGAAATTAATTTGAGGGAGGAAAAAGGGAAGCTTGTTTTCTGCTATTTTGATCATCTTTGAAAGCATGCCTCTGTTCTTTAATGTTGATGTTTAACTGCTTTAATAAAACTGGTTACAATACAGATAACTGATGTAGACTGTTACCTGAAAAAAAAAAAAAAAGAAATAATTTAAGTTGTTCTCCTGTGTCTAAATTTCATATAATTTAAAACAGATAACTTCTAAATATTAGATGTCTTTATTCATAAGACAGTGATAGTTTGCAAGGATAAGTACAATTCTCTCCATCTTCACGCCCTTCCTTCCCCATTTTTTATTTTTATGTGGGTGAAGGGATGGGTAGGAGTTAGTGCAGTCAGCAACTGGAAACCTAGTAAAAGGCTGTTACAGGTAAGGAGAGATGCTTTGTACTCTGTAGCTGTTCCAGACTGCAGCAAAGTGAGAGCTAATAAAGATGATAGATGTCTTGATTAAGGAGAGTGCAAACAAGATGATACTGCAGGTAACTATTCAAAAACAGAAAATGAGATCTTTTAGGTTTGAATTCTGATCTGTTACTCATACAGTGTGACTCAATGCATACATGCAAGAAGAATGAGGACCTAAAGTTTAGATGACACAGTATATAAAAAACTAGGATGCATATTTTGTGTGTGTTTTTTTTTTCTTTTTTTTTTTCTTGTCTCTCAATATGGCCATGTCAAAATAATGGGGGTATGTACCTGCTTTTGAAATGTCTGTTCAGTGAAGGGGTTATGTATGTACTTTGAAAACTCTACTCCTGTTTTAATTGCTGATTTTTATAAAGTGCTGTAGATTCTACAGTTGAAAGCACTGGAAGATGAAATGGCTGCTCCCCATTTGTAAACTTCAGATGTGTTTTTAAAAGCTACTTGTGGATGTTGGATGGGGAGGATGTGGATGGGGAGAAGACAGTCTGCTATTTATTTCTGTTTTCATCAACACAACTGAGTGCTGTGTATTAGCAGTATAGCATGCGATTAGCCATGTTTACTTTTCCAGCATGTAAGATACAGCTGTCTTGAGACAAACTTCAGACTTGAGTCAAGCATAATAATTAATTTTTTTCCTTGGGTAGCACTTAAAAAATATCAGTTCCTAGTTAGCCCAACATTTTGCTTACTTTTGAGCTGTGCAGGCACATTTTAACATCTGTCTTGGGGAACCAACTGAATGTGGGATAGAATCTAGATATCCTATGTCTATAGTTTTAATCTAGAATATACTTCACAGTTGTGCACTTTACTTTTTTTCCCATTTACTTGAGTTTTCCCCAAGTTCTGAAAGTATACAGCCTAGGAATGCAGCATAGAAAGTTATTGACTAGTGTCAGTGAAGTGCTCCACCTGCCTGTGTGGCAGCTCTCTTGCATTGAGAGGTGAGCTCCATTTAAGTGACGTGATTTGATACACTGGATGCCTTGTTCAATTCTGTAGGGCAGAAAATATTCAGATCTTTACGTTATCAGGTCTTACATTCAAGTTTTGGACGTAACAGTTGTTAACTGTTTGTATTTATTAGCGTTGTGGTTTTACAAGACTGTCCAAGTGCTAAAGATAAAAGTCATGGAAACCAGGGGCTTAGTGCTGCAGGCCTGTAAGTAGATAGCTACTGTGTTGAGAATATCTGTTGAAACATCAGGTGATCACTTCAACATGTCTTCTGGTTACCTTTTTTTCATTTCAAAGAAGAGTTGTTTCGGTATTTTGAACCATAGGCTCTTAGTACAGTAGAGTTGTCAAGATATGCAGGTCAAAAATAACAGTAAAATCTAACCCTAAAATTATGTACTTATGCATCCTGGTATTTAAACTACTGAAGATTTACTACTGTAACCAGTGTCAGAAAAATCTTATTTTCTCAACTATAGTAGGATACTTGTCCTGTCATCTTCAGTTGTTTTAACCTTTAGTTTGTGCTGGTGAATCATGCTGCATGTCAGGCTTCCTAGAACTTTAGGTTCTGCAAGGGGCTTTTCTGCTAAACATGAGTGTTAGTAAATAAAGGCTGTAGTTTGGGTGTACATACTCTGGTTTTGCTTTCTTCAAACAAAACCAGCAACTCTAGTTCTATTGAATGTCTGTGTTTTGCCTCAGGATGACCAGAGGCCCAGCCTGTACTTAAATAATAACCTCTAGAAACAGAAGTAATGTACTTTATCTTCATCCTGACTGTAGCGTTGAAAGACAGGGTGAGAGGGTGTTAACTGAATGAGAACAGTCAGGCTGGTATGATGAAACTGTTGTATTGAGACTCTTCAATGTTTTTTTGTAGACTGAAGAGACTTTTCTATCATTTGCTATAATCTTAAGTGGTGGTAGTATCTGGATTGAAATTGTTCAACAGTAAAAAATGTAATGATGTTGAATTTCCATTACAAACACTGAAATGGTAACAACAAATTCCAGGCATTTCCATTATATTCTGTGTGGTGTAACTCAAATTATAGTAATTTTCATTTCCATTTTTCATAAGGCAGCTAAAGAATATGGAAAATGAGCAAGTTGTACTTGGTGAGTGCACTGCATCTGGTCAGTTTTAGTTTCATTGAGATAAATGATGGGATTTCTGCTTTTGAGCTACAGTTGTCGATGTACCAAACAGTTCTCTTTTCTTCATAGAAGTGATTGTTTAGGTTCTAGAAAAGTTGTTATGCTCAAAGTGGTCTTATCTGCCCTGAGAAGATTGTATTGGAAGTAATTAGCTGTTGTAGGGCATATGAAAGTAGCTGAGAGAAAGGGAAGACAAAACTCAGTTATTCAGTGAAATGTTTGTCAGGCAAGAGACAAGAGTTGCACAGAAATAAATAGTGGGAAGGAGTGTTTTGATATACACACACATGCACACAGGGGGCAAAAAAAGAGACTTGGAAGGATGATGTCACTGGAATCCTTCTGCCTTGAGGAGAATGCATTCATGGTATTGTTTGAGTATGCAATAGGGTAAGTTTTGGAGCGCTTAATAGCTTAGATATAATAGTTTTCCTATTAACACTTCAGTCTCTGCCTTTATGCTGTCATTATTTTACCATGTGAAGCCGTTTATCTTTTATTCTGATTCTCCATTATTTTAGCAATAGCAGAAGTCTATGGTACTACATGTTCTGAATGCTTTGTATTCCCAATACACAAAATGTGCACCTGGCACTGATGACCCTTCTTGGGAATTGTATTTTCTAAATCAAAACTGAAATTACACTTCTGTGGGTGACTTGGCAACAGTATTCTGCATGGTAATATTCCTGTAACAGTTTCATGGCACTGTTGAAATTGGCACTGCAAAAACTGGTTTTTAGGGATTTTGTGTGTCTGTCTGTATAAATTGTGTTTTCTTTCCTCTGAAGAAGTGAAATTAACATGTTGCTCTCTAGAAGTAGAGAAGAAAAGAGTAATTAAATACAGGTACTGTTACTACATTTAAGAGAGAGATAACAAGAAATGAGTAAATACTACGTGCAGTGACCTAGAGAAGAAGAATTGAAGGAATTATAGTTTTTGTTATAAACTGGAAACATCAGACTATTTTTACCTTTTAGTGATCATCAGTGTGAGGTGACAAAGGAGTGAAAAAAATGGTACGTGACTAGCAGCCCAGCTCCTCCATGCCTCCTTCTGAGCATGTGCGCAGCTGGGAGACGAAACTCCTAACCTTCCTGCTGCTGCTGAGTGCGCAGACAGCGTGAGGCCTGCTGGCCTAGTGGATGGGAGCAACCACTGAGGTTGGGTTTGGCTTTTGGCTTTTGTTTTTGTTAGTTGGTTCTCTACCTGTCACCCAAACATAAAAAGAAACTGTTGTTCCTGGAGGAAAAAGACAACTGTACAGCGATGCTCTATTTTCATGTTTTGTTGTAAGATTCCAAATCCAAACTAACTGAAGAGCTCTATAGGGGATGTAATACAGGCATGCCCTTCGCATACAGACGGTAGATAGTTGAGGCTTCACGAAGCTTTGTGATAATGATATAAGACTGTATATGGAAATGTTATTCTTTTGCAGAACTGAAAGTCTCTGGAAGTTAAAACTGCTTTGTTCTCTAGCTAAGACTTTACAGATTTGAAACCTTAAACTTCTGCATAAGCTTTAATAAGACAGAGATATCTTAAACTTCCCAATTATCCCTTTCCTTAAGGAGGCCAGCAGTCCGTCTGAAACTAACAAGTAAACATTGACCAAATATGTGCATGAAAATAGTGAGGTGGTGCTCGAGATCTGACAAAGCAAAGGAAACTGGTGGTTGAATTTGTTTGGTGTGTTCCTTACAGAAGCAAATATGATTTGCTACACGTGATTTTTATTTTGTTTTTCACTGATATGTGTATGAATGTAAGTTTTCCTCTTTAACCTGATGACTGGAGACCTCTTATCCCTCTGATAAGTGCTGGCAGTAACAAAGATGTGCAAACACTGAATAGTTTTGTCCAGAATTGGTCAAGCTGTCTAAGAATTTGGTATAACTGTAAGTTTCTAAAGAAAAGGCCTGCTGTTTTTTAACTCCACATACTTTACTTGTTAGAGTAGTAGGGTTAATTGTTTACTTAAAAACAAAACAGGAAAGAAAAACTTGGAGGAGGTGAAAGGAAAATGATGAAAGAACAAGAAATAAAGTGATTCCTGAATTTCGGAAACTGTTATTTATTTTTATTCTGTACTCTTGAAAATTGATCAAACACCCAAGGAAAACAACTGAATGTGGTTCTACAAAACAAGACCTCAGGCAGTGTCAGTTTTTTTTATTGCCATATGTTACACAGCTATGCAAACAATCCATGTCAGCTCCTTTGTAAGCAGTATGAGAACTTGTCAAGTTGGCTTCTTGTGTTCTGTGCTGTCATGTGGTCTGTAGTATGTGACTAGTTGCTTTTGGGCTTTTTTTCTTGAGCTTTTCTTTCTTCTTGGGCTTTTAAGTTTGGGAAGCCTCTCTAATTCAGGGCTGGAAGAACAGTGACTGAAAAGAATGTGAATATGAAATGGAGGCAAGTTGAAGGGGGGATCTGAGAAAGGAGGTAGGAGGATGCCTACATCAATAACTTAACTGCAGCAGTGTTGTTGAAAATCCAGCAAAAAGAAATTGAGTGATGAAACATTAGATATAGCTGTGTTTCTGAAGGGCATAGTAGAATGGTGTCTACTGTTCTGTTTAGGCTCAAACGTTTTCTGAAACTTCAGTCAACCTTTTTCCCCTGACTGCTGCTTTCTGTCATGTCAGAGGATGAAGTTTTTGCTGCTGCAGCAGAAGTACCTGGAGTACCTGGAGGATGGCAAGGTCCTGGAGGCACTTCAAGTTCTACGCTGTGAACTGACGCCTCTGAAATATAATACAGAACGCATTCATGTCCTCAGTGGGTAAGTGCTTGGACTTGGAGAGGACTTTTTGAAGAAATACTGTAGCTTTTATGGTAGCTTGTAGTGACTTTGTAAGCTCAAACTGCATTAAAGCTATTATCCTTTTGATAAATAATCTGTAGTGAGATGCACTATCTAAAGCGGTGAGTAAAGAAAAAGCATTCAGTAGATGATGTTATATTTTTAGATGCATGCGAGTTACTTGATATGATTTTTGTACTGGAACCCAAGCAAATACATATGCATGTATGCTCATTTGATCTTGAGAATTATTGGTCTGTTATCTTATAACTAAAAAATATGCTTAAGTTGGTGAATTTAGTCTAGATTGTACTTAGATGAAAATAAGGTATTTTTACCTTTCTGAAAACAACCCTCTTGGGGCTCTTTTTATTTTCTTATCTATTGACAATGTAGGTGTCTGTTCTGAAATATGTCTGTATTCTTTGCCTTTCTTCCTATCATTCTAAGCTTAAGTAACTTGCTTCCAGATAATATATTCTGAAATTAAGAATGTTATATATCATGCTTAAAAGTGGAAAGAATGATTCCAGAAAGAGGTGTGTTGGCGTGTGTGTTTTGTTTGTTTGTTTTGTTTTTAAACAGGTATCTGATGTGTAGCCATGCAGAAGACCTGCGTGCAAAAGCAGAGTGGGAAGGGAAAGGAACAGCTTCCAGATCTAAACTTTTGGACAAACTCCAGAGTAAGATATTTGAATGTTTAGAGTTTATTTCCACCTCTGTAGTTCAAATGCATACTACATAGTCATGTATCGCAGGAAATTAATTCTAACTGCATTTACCAGTTGTTGGTTTTCTTGTAGTTCTTTATGTGCCTCTGGGTTTTGGTCTTTGAGAGCTAAAGATTAGCTGTAATTACTTAGTTCTGTTGCATGCATTAATAATGTAATTTAGTGATGAATTCCTCCATTGGGTCAGGGGGAAGTTTGATTTGTAAATGCCAGCTGTAGTGAGAGGCTGAAACTGTCCTAGAACCACTGTGAATACCAGCAGTAGTTAACAGTGATCTCAAACTGCGCTGTGGATTTCAGTTTCTCCTCTGGTTTCTTGTGGCTTGTGTAACACCATGGATTTTTGCAGCTCTGACACATTGTATTCTTCATTTTGATAGTCTTAATTGAGAACTTCTCAGATGAGCCCAACTGATGCTGCTTTATAATCTGACAGATTTTGTGAAGTACTGGGTTGTGAGTGAGCTTGTGTAAATGATGTTTGCTTGCCAAGACAGCATATACGGTAGCTGTAAATATCTTACAGCTCTGTTTTCCAGAGACTCATGCTTGCCATGTCTACAGGTATACATCTGGAATTACAAGCTGTGTGCACTCTTTTTCGGCAGCTTTTTGCGTTATTCACTGAAGTCTCTTCCAAAAACACTCAAATCAATAAGTGCTTTTACTTTTAACTTGGTTCTGATATATGTATTTTTCAACAATTTTTTTAATAGCATACCTGCCCCCCTCAGTGATGCTTCCTCCAAGGCGTTTACAGAACCTGCTGCGTCAGGCTGTGGAACTACAACGGGACCGGTGCCTATATCATAATACCAAACTAGACAGTAATCTAGATTCTGTCTCGCTGCTTATAGATCACGTTTGTAGTAGGTAAGAAGCCCTTTCTACTTGTAAGATGGATGGCAATATCTTCCCTGTGTTTCTTAAAGTAATTTAATTGTGCCTACTGTTTTGAGGGTTGTGAAAATGATTCCAATGTGTTTAACAGTTCTGGGAAAAGGCAGGCCTTATAAATTGAATGGTAGAGGTGGAACTGGATACATTCATACATTGCGCGTATGGAAGGCTTTGGTAGCTGGATATGAGGCAATGGTGCCATACTTAAACTTCAGAATTGTAATTGGGTGGGTATGAGTAGGATATGTTTTTATGCTAAGCCTTAGCTACTTGTTTGCTCCGTAACTTTGGGCAGCCATTCTGTTTATTAGTCAATACATGACTGCCACATTTTAACTAGGCTATCACCAGTACGTTAAATAGGTTCTGCCTTCAAGCTTACTGGGATGAAAAAAGCCTACTGAAGCACACTAAATAAAGTCAACTTTTAGCTTTTAATGGTAAACAATAAGGTGCTTCTAAGATTTACGGGTTGGGGAGCTGAAATATGCAGTATACACTTGTTTAATGTCTAATGTGAATAAAAAAAGTTTGGGAAAATAGTTCTTAATAAGGTAGTAAAAACTGAGGATCTCTTCTACGTGCATATTGGTGCTGCTTCTGGATCCTTAAAATGCCGTGCTCTAGACAGAAGCAGGAGGCTCTTGTTGTGGTGTATTTTAATTTATTTTAACAAATACCTAATTTGACTGGCTTTCTTTATATACTGAAAACTTGGCCAAGGATCTAAAAATTCAGTGTAGTTTTTTTTTTTTTAGAAAACTGGTGTAATACAGTAATTCAGGAATGAGGGTTAGAACACCTGCAAAACTGAGCCTATAGACAGTACCCTTCTATGTTTTTCCTTTTTCATTTCTTTTCTTTCATGTAGCGGGCTAAAACTTGGGCTTACATGAGACTTTTTTTGAGTCAAGGTTAGTTCATCTGAAAAGTTAAATTACTGTCTGATGAACTTGCTTTTAGAGATCTTATGAACTTGGCTGCTTTGAATGCTTAGAATCTATTTTGAAAGATACAGGCTTTTGTAGTACTTGCTTGTAACCATCTTAAGGTTTTAAAATTAATATATCTGGTACTTTATTCAAGTATGTGTTTTTAGATTGTTGTTACACTTTGTCTGCTGCATCACGTTGTTCTAGTGGTTTCTCATGTGCATGGACTTCTGACTGTTGCTCATTTTAAGAGCTATTGGAAGTGATCAGATAAAGGAATTGTGGCTTTCCCTACTTCAGAAGTGAGTCTTAAAAACAAACTAGCAGAGTGGTTTAGTCTTTTCACAAGCCCATAAATAACAGTAGATGTTCTGTAGAACATCAGTGTGTTTAATCAAACCTTAAAGAGCTTAAAGTCAGCTGTAAAAAGTGTGAAGGTGGACTAGGTAGAACTGGATACCACATGATAAATGTGGACTCCTATTCCACTGATCTGAATCTACTTGCTAACATGAAGGTTTGGCCAAAATAATATTTAAAAAAAAAAAAAAAGCAAAAAAAAAAAAAAAAAGCAACAGAAGCTCTTCAAAATAAAGGCTTCCATTCTGTCCTCAACTCAACCTGTTGTAACTACCTATTGCAGGGGTCTGAGATCAGTATGTGATACGCTGTACATGCTGCAATGCTTGGGCATAATGAGGTGAGTTAAAGACAGTGGAAGCCAAAATTTGATTAAACTGACAGATGCAACAGTAGTCTAATAGTTTAGACAACTTAAGTACTGTAACAGCTAAATAAACACTGACAACTTTCCTTTTTTAGTTGGAACTAATGTTTTGGACTTCTGGCAATACTTTAAGCAAGCATGCTTACAAGTGCACTAATGGGTAGAATGTTTGACTAAATAACTTCACAAGGGCAGGTGGTAAGAGAGAGGAAACTGCTGGGAGTGAAGGTGATACATGGAGTCTTACTGTGCATTCTGTTTTGATAATAGATGCTATTGGAGGGGGGTGATCACTTCCATATGTGGGTCACTCTGGAAGTAATGCCTTCTGTTTATGTACAACAGACACAAAGAGCACAGTAACACTATTTGATAGAGTGAGTTCTCAGCTACAAAATGCTATCTGTCAACACAGCCACCTCCATGAGCTATGCATTTTTGCCAGTGTTAAACAAGAGCCTGCATGCTGCACTCATTGAAGTCTGGCTGCCTGGAACATGGCTTGTCTTTCACATTGCTGTTACTACTGCTGAAATGCGCTGCGCGCCACCTCGCTGTGCTGTTATTCACTGTTTGGTCTCCATAAATGCTCAGCAAGCATTGATGAATGTCAGTGGGCTCGGTTTTTTCTGCGTGGAGGAAATCAGTCAGACTTCTTTGCTCCGTTCGCGCTTCCATGTCAGATGCCATTGTGTCAGAGTGTCCCTCTGCTGCCATCTGTTGCACAGCAACAAAAGGTAGTGGAATATGGGTGGGAAGGTTCCACCTCTACTGCCATACCACCACCACCTGCCTCTGATGTTGTGAGCCAACATAATACAGTAGGAGGCATTACTTTGGGAGCAGCCCTTGTGTTTACATGTATGAATTTTTACTTATTTACTTATTTTTACTTGGAAAGCCTTTAGGTGGTTTTTGTTTTCCCCTGGAATTTTCTAGCTTTCATGTAAATACACCTAAGTCTGAATTCATAGTGAAACCTGAGAGAAATGAATGCTGTTGCATTTCTGCATGCTTCTAATAGGCTAATGCAGCATTTTTGAAAAAGAACTCTTGTAGAAGCTGAAGAATAAATCTTTCATTCCACATACAGTGAAAAGTAGCTGTTAGTAGTAGTTAAATTTAGGGTTCTGTACATGCAACAGTGGATAACTTTATTAGATACTTTATTTCAATATGTGAACAACGTGACTCAAGTATGTTGCGCTGAACAGAACAACTTGTAAGGAAACAAAAAAGCAAAACAGTTTGAGTTAAAATAGCATCTCATTATATAGACAAGAAACTACTCAATAACTGCAGCATTATTTAATGTATCACTTGTCTGTGAAGTAAATCTTGCTGGGTTCTGTTTCATTTGGTGGACTTTTGAGAGAGCTCGGATCTGACTGCGTTGTGGATAGCATACTTCAACATTGGATGGGTCTGCAGCTGTGATATTGGCTGTGCTTGTTAACTTTTTTTTTTTTTTTTAGTAACCTCAAGGCTTCCTTTCTGTGGAAATGGTTTACTCCAGCACTGTGCTGCTGCTTCTTGTCTTTAAGAAAAGCACCCAGGGTTTTAATTTTGAAAAAGCAGTGCTTGTATTTTAGTTGAGTGTTTCTTTTAGTGGCATATGCTGGAATGGATGTCTTGGGATGCAGTACACCCTTTTTACTTTGTATGAATTATGGATAAAGAAGCTAACTTTCAAGAAGGAACTGCTGCTCTGAGGAGAAATGTTAATTTACTACAACATGGCTAAATAATAATGAAGCGTAGCTCTTGCTGTAGGTGCAGGTATCTGTGTAAGGACTTGTTTGCCTCCCTTTAGGCTTCAATAAAACAAAGTCATCTTTCATGGGTGGAGCTTTTAACCTTGGACTCAGGGCTGTTCCAGTGGCAATTAGACAACTCCTGGTCAGCTTAAGGCAGAATAATACAAAATAGACTTGTGTTAGTCTATTAGAAGTGACTAGACATACCAAAGGAAGATGGATACAGGTATGTGTATATACAATGTGGTTATCCTCCCCTATCATAAGACAGGAAATGAGGGGATGTGTGGTGGTTGAGTGTTGCTCAGTGGTCTTTAAACACAGGCTGGGATGCATCTTCTAATAGAAGGAAATGAACTGAGAGAATGCAGTCATTGTATTAATCAGAAAATTCTGGTTTAAAAAGTAGCTTTTCAGGGTGTCTGCTAGCTTGGCTACCACCAACTGTATATTAAAATACAAATGTAAGGAAGTAACCCTTCTTAGGCCGGGTTTTTCTTGTAATGAGTGCAGCTGTGCATTTGCATAGGATATTGTTTTTAGAGTAGTAACTTAATATCTCTTTAGAGCTGTGTTGCCCTGTTGTGCTGGCATCATAAAAACTCACTGAAAGATTAACACTCTCCAGTATACCTGTAGTTCAGGAATAAATGTTAATGGTTAGGCGTTAACTTTTAGTGCATCCAAACACTGAACTTCATAACTGCAGTATTATTTAAAGTCTTTTACAGTCATCTGCCCTAAAAGCCTGCTTTTACTTTAGACTAGCTCCCAATTACTCTTGTAATGGGCAAGCAGTGAATGAAACAGAATGTATCTCCTGATCTGAATATTTTGACTGTTAGCCTTTCCTCAGAATGTAACTAGAAGATTAAATATTAGCTTTAAGGAAACACTTGATCCTTTCAGTAGTTTATCATATAATATTTAGTTTGATAAGTATTTAATGCATTACAAAATAGTGTGGCTTTGGTCAGGGGAACACTTAAAGCGTTATTAACATGATGAGGATGGTGAGGCCCTGGTACAGGCTGCCTAGAGAAGCTGTAGGCATTCAAAGCCAGGTTAGGTGGGACTTCGGACAGCTTGGTCTGCAACCCTACCCATGGCAGGAGATTGGAACTGGATGAACTTCAGAGTTCTTCTCAAACCAAGCCATTCTGTGATTCTGTTGTGTTATGCTTAAAGTTGTGTGTGTGTACAAGGAAAATGTAAAACAAACAAATGAAAAACATGCTACGCAATGAAGAAAACCCCACAACTTACTGCAAGCTCCAGTTCAAGAAAGACTATTCTTTTATTCAACTTCTAAGAATTATTTTTAAGTATCTTGCATGGTCTGGCTATAAATACATTAAAAGATTTTGCATGTTAATGAAATTCTTTGTGCATGATTCCATGAGACTGGCTCTAGTATTTTCTGTACATCATAGAAGTGTACAGTAAAAAAGCTGTCCCTGTCCTAATGAGGTTAGGTTTATTCCAGGTTATATGAAGCATAATGAATTATGTGAGGGTAATAAGACTATCTCTACAATTAGTTTTGTTTACTTGATACTTAATTTTTTCGGACTTGTCTAAGTTACCTGATCTGGCACTTAATACATCCTTAATTTTTATTAGACTGGTTGGGTTTTGTCTTGTTGTTTATATGTATCTTACTACTTTCTTTCTTTTTGTTTTGTTTTTGCTTAACGCGTCCCTTTCTTTTTTTCCCTAGGAAACAGTTCCCTTGCTATACACAGCAGATACTAACGGAGCACTGTAATGAAGTGTGGTTCTGTAAATTTTCCAATGATGGCACTAAACTAGCAACAGGATCCAAGGATACAACTGTTATTATATGGCAGGTTGATCCAGTAAGTGTGCAACATACGTTAAAATGTGTATGAGATTTTTTCCCCCTATATATCCACTTTTTTGCTAGAATGGTTTGATTTTATTTTTTTTTCTAAGAATGACTAGCATGTACTGTAGCCCTCTGAGTAGGGTATTTGTCTAGGATGGAAAAAGCTGAAGATCACAGTTTAAGTTAGTGAAGACACCTGAATACCCAATGCCTGTAGGGCCTGAAATGTTGGCTGCTAGAATGGGAACTCCCTGTGCCCCCTAACCAGCACTGCTGAGTAGAGCCTGCTAGTGCCCTCCAGGGGTGCTGCTTAGCTTGAAAGCTTTGAGAAGCATTGGTGAAAGTGGAATGAGCATGGCAGTGTTAAGAGATAATCGCTTTCTTCTAAGTGACTTGCTAATATATGTGATTAAATCTGTTAAATTAACCCGTGGCTACATTTGAGTTTAAAGAAATCTGTCCATATCACATGACTTCTGAGTAATAAAATGGTGTGTGCTTAAAGTTGCATTATTATATCACTTCGCATTAGTTTCTGTTTTGTCTTAGTTTGAGCTGACAATTTAAATGCTTGGCAGAATCCACTCGTGGGAGACTGTACCCAGCCATTTCCTTACAGGCCACGTTTTTAGCTTGTATCAAATGTGAGCCACATTTCCTGTTATATCAAATATCCAACAGATACAAGATTTGTATTTCCTACCTGTATCTATTCTTACCTAAATAAAAAGTTCAAGTGAATCCAAGACTACTGTCTTCTAGAAATAGGATGAAAGTATGTCCCTATCTTTCATAACAACTGAGGGCTATCAATAAACTTTAATATATGCACACAAGTAGCTGGAGTTGTTAATGCTTATAAAACACTATCAGAAATAAGATTCCTACAGGTCTTAACAACATATTTGCAAACTGTTAAGCTAAGCAGAAGATCAAAGGTTTTTATGGTCCCATACAAATTTCAGTAGGATTTGAGAACTGAATTTGATCCTTTTCTACAATTTCACATTGAGTTAAGCTATATAATTTTAGTCCTTTTTGATGTTCAGATAATGGGAGAACTTACAACCTTTTGATTGTGTATAATTATATGCATCTTATAAATTAGCAAATTTTCAGGTGTAGAACTGTTGTTTGGCTTTAGTCCTGTTACTGGATCCAATGTGCTTTGAGCTGAGAGATATACAGTAACATAATGTGACTTCTGTGCTCAATGTGATTTTTGAATTAAAAGAAAGAATCAACAGCAATTCCAATTAAATTGAGGATCAAGTGGCTTTGCTGTTGATTTGTTACTTGACTTTGTATTGACAACTTTTAATTCACAACATTCTTATGGTACGTTTCATGATGAATTGCCACCTAACCAAATAAACATATTGTGTTTTAGGTTATCTTAACACTTAGATTTGTGGGTTGTTATGGGAACAAAATCTCCAGTAAAGAGTAGAAAAGCTGTGTACAGTTCTGCTTTCTGTGTTTGAGTACAAGCAGGGGGGAAAACCTCTTAAAACATTTCAGGGAGGTAGGCTTCTAAATAATATGAAGCCACGTAACTGTGATTTCAAATTTGCCAGAGCATACTTTTCACATTTCCTGTAGCAGCTGACAATGTCTTTTGAGTAATAAATTTAATCAGATTCTCCTGCCTTTAAGTAAATAAATTTATTCTAATCTGCCTGTATAAGCTGTAAAGAAACAACCATCCAATTCTGGGCCAGTGATGGGGGCACACTGTTCTAAATGTGTTTCTTTTCCATACTAATGTATTACTAATATATTACTTCCTAAGACCCATGTATTTGTCATCTAAACTGTCTTAACCCATGCTTCTGTTTTCATTTTCGTTTGCTCATTTTGCTGTTCTTTCAGCAGCATTAAATAATACCTTGAGTAAACTAGATTTGAGTGTGGAATGCATTATTTGACTGTTACAAAGTGTGGCAGAATCTCTAAAGCACAAACATTAGACATTGTCTTGTCTGGAATGCATCTTCCTTTGGTAGAGTTTGCCTTTGACTTGTTTCTTACTGGAACTTGTTTTTTACTACACTTTCTCAAAAACTGTTGACGGATGTTTGACTTCTCAGCCAAGGAGCTTAATCATTACAAACTTAATAGCTGAATAGTCTTTTCTTCTTCATAACAAAAATTTGGGAAGTTATATGTAAGGGTAGAATTGCTAAGATTTATTTAGGTGACAGATGCGAAGCAAACTGACTAAATTTGGGAACGTTTACCTGAAATACCTGCTGTTATAGTGAGAGCAAGACAAATTATAGCAGTCCTATTGTATTTGTAGAAAGGGATGAGAGCAGTAGGAGAGTGACAGCCACAATTCCTATCATCGTAAGGAAAAAATGATACGCATCCTGTTCCTCTTGCCTCTCAAATGAGGTGCTGTGGAAGTGGCAGGCTACCCTTCCACTGGGATTAGTTTAAAAAAAAAAAATGCAGCAGTTGCAGACAAGCTCCAGGATGAGAGGTGTCAGATGTGACTCAGTTCCTTTTCAGATCGGTTCAGATAGAGACCTGGCAGTGTCTAATGTAGACCAAGGAATAATGAACAGAATGAAATAGGAGAGGCCTTGAGAAAGTCTGTGTGTTTGCTCCTGTTATTTCTGTTCTTTGAAGATTGTTCTTAGCCCATTTTCTTTTGGGGCATTTTTCAGCCAGCAGAATGAGGAAAGCTTCAGGCTGATGGAGTTGTTAAGTACCTTGCAGCTGATCCCAGAAAACAGACCACGTCAGGCTCTTTCTCTGTTGATGATGTTCTTTCTCTGGAATCCCAAGTCAAGAGATGCTCTGCCTAATGCTAAAACAAGTGAAAATGGGACAGTTAGAGAAATCAAACACCTTCAAATGAGTCAGATTCATTTTGAAGAGAAGTATGAGGCAAGAACAACCCCCTCCCCAATCATACAAAATCAGAAAAAAACCAACCAAAGAAACCTTCACAAAAATTGTTGTAAGCAATTCAGCAAGTTCTATTCTATGCAGCATGTTTACTGTAATTCAGAAGTTAATGTGTGATTTTTTTTCACGGTATCTAGTTGTACTACTTATCCTCATAAGAAGATGCTTGAAAGTCAAGTTCCTTTGACAAATCAGCATTAGAGCAGTTGTAAGATAAAGCTCATGTAAGATACTTCTGTGTGTGCAAAGTATGCTTCATTCACAGAGTCTGGTGGAAAGGGTGCAGAGCTTGTTGTAGGCAGCGCTTCTGAGAAAAAGAATACCTCACTTGTGAGCTTTTAAAGACATCTGTGAAATCTTTTTCTGACTAATGCACAAATACACTCGGGTTATTTAAAAAAAAACCTTAATGATGAGGGTTTTGGTTATTAATTCTGCTTAACTATAACAGTTTTCCAACATGTTTGTGCTTTACTTTTAAGAAAGTAACTTAATTCCATAAAATATGGATAACCGTACTTCTGTATCCCAGTAGAGGTAGGGACTTGTTTTGGCATGTAAGGTTTCTGTAGTATTGAGTGTCATGTAACATAAGACTTTGTACACAACAACATTTTGTGAGTTCCACGTTCAGAACAGTCATGGAAGGTTAGAACCAAATACCTACATGTTCTTGTTTGCTTTTCATTTCTGGCTTTTGTTTCTATTTTTGCACAAGCTTTTGTCTGATGGTCATACTCTATAAACTATCAACTGCTTTTCCAGTAAGAACTTATTCACATGACTTGTAAAGTGGACTTGTAAAATGCCTGTGCCAAGTTGCATAAAGCGAAGTGTCCGTGCTGTACTTGAACATGTTGTACATATGAAATGTGGTAGGAGCTCGTTTGTGTTGCCTCAACGGAATCTCTCTTGTTTCAGGATACTCACCAGCTAAAACTACTTAAGACATTAGAAGGTCATGCATATGGAGTCTCTTATATTGCTTGGAGTCCAGATGACAACTATCTTGTTGCCTGTGGCCCAGATGATTGTTCTGAGCTTTGGCTCTGGAATGTACAAGTAAGTGGTGACTCAGAGTATAAAAAAATAAAACTGTGGTCAGCTTGCAGCTTTTTTAAAAGAAGATGTATGTTAATGTAGATATATCTAAATCTATTAAGCATGAAGGATATGAATTCTTCAAACTTTCCGTACGAAAGTGTGAGCATATAGAAAACAGACTAAACTTCTTCCCTAATTTGGGAAACAGCCAACAAGTTCTGTACTCGTTTTGTACAGAACTGAAAATAGAGTTGGAGTCTGAATGCCTGAGACTGCGTAGCAATTCTGGTGTATCTGATGACTGACTCTTCATTTCTAAGAAGGGATTGCACAATTCCACAAGACCATAGAGAGCTACTGAAGAGAAGAACAGCAGAAATAAAAAGAAACAGGACAGAAATACAATCTAAGGAAATAAATAATTAGCAGAAGATTTTAGAAATAGTGTGCATCTTTTAATTTGTTTCTTGTTGTTTTGTGTCACCCTCCCAGTAGTTCTAGTGAAAGGTCCACAGAGACTCAAACTTCTGTCTTTCAGTCAGAAAATAGGGAATTTGGTTATTTTCTCCATGTCTTTGAAAACCCTTTTCTGCTGTTGATTTTTATGGGCAGCTGAGTTGATACAAAAGCTTCACTGGCTTCAGCTGTGGGCTGTATAGTCTTTATTGCACTGTTTAGACTCTGAACTAATTTAGTTCCCTAGAAACAAAAAAAAAAAAAAAGGGTTTTTTTTCCACCCTTGAAATACTTTTGTTCTGTTTCAATTTATTTAATTGGCTTAGTGAAGTAAGTTGGCTCAGTGAAGAGCATTAGAGCTGGCACAAGGGAATAGAGAGAAACCCTTACTGTTTTGGCAATGGTAAGCCATTTGTTGGCTCTGTGTCCTGTGAAACAGCAGTGTTATGAGCTGGGCACAAAAGCTGAAGTTTGACATGAAGAGCTTCAGCTTAGTGAGGAAAACGTTGTGAATATATATGTATATTTTTACTAAACACAGTCTTGTCATCTGTTTTCTTTTGTTCTACTGTAGCCTTCTCACTCCCCACATTTTGGTTTGTTTCATTTTGTATTTCTGAGTTGAGTTCCCCTCTTTAAACTGTAATCTCACAGTTGTCTGATGTACCCACTACTTCACCCCTCTGGATTTGAGGGACAAAATGATAAATTTCCCCAAGTCTGAGGAAATGCTTGAGATGCTGTGGTAACTCTCTCTTTTTATTGCATTATTCATAGGGTTTTTTTGTTTGCTTGCTTGCTTGTTTTGTTTCTTAAATTAGTGTTGAGATGTGTGTACTTCCAGGTACTGCAAATTAGATAAAGTTATCAGTATCATTTTAGGAGAGGATTCTCCTGGCTGGTATTGGGCATTACTGTCCTTATTTTCCAGACTGGGGAGCTGAGGACAAAGATGAGCCAATCTCATGAAGACAGTTTAACAAGTGTGGCCTGGAATCCTGATGGGAAGCGTTTTGTAACAGGAGGTCAGCGTGGACAGTTCTATCAGTGTGTAAGTTCTCTGTATCTGTCACACTGAAAACAAAGATAGAAAGAAACATTTTGTCGCAGTCCAATGTGAGTTTTGATGCTTTTTTTTTTTTTTTAATTTTCTTTTGTGTATATATTAAAAATGAATCTTCACAGATAAGCTTTTAAAAAAAAAAAAAACAACCCTTCAAGTACTCTGAAATTTGTATGTACAATACACAGATGCTATTATTTCAGCTGCATTTCTGTTTCTGTGTACTAGTCAGAAGGGCTCAAATGCATTCACAAAGCAATTACCTTGCATAAGGGAGGATTGGTGGGATGGAAGTTTTTGTCATAGCTTCTTTTGAAAACAGACCATTAAAAAGCAGTGCCTTTGCCCATATATTTTGTTTATTCCTTAGAATTTTCTATGCTTTCTTTTAGTTTTTGCATGCTGTCATTGCCTAGTGTAAACAGAAATTTGAAGCCCTCATTTGATAATTAGTGTTAATTTTTAGATAGTGTTCTGCAGTCTCACCAGTACTCTTAATTGTCATCTGACTTGGTGTCCGGAAGGATGCTGCTGTATGCAAGCCTCACTCACTGCATAAGTGAGCTTGCAGATTGCTCCCTGACATGAAGTACTTGCTTCTTTTCTGGTTTGGTATGTGCAAAGAAGGGGATTCACACCTCTCCAGGACAGATAGTTACAAAGGTCTTCAGTTAATCCAATCCAAGTCCTAAATCATTAAGTCCTCTTCATTAAATGGTAAGATTGCTTTTTGTAGCTGCTGTGTGAACAGAGGGTGGAAAAGATGTTTGTTGCATAACTCCTCCAGAAATCTGAGCCTAAAAGCTTGTTTATCTATCTATTTATTCATTCTGACCAGGACTTAGATGGTAATCTCCTTGACTCCTGGGAAGGGGTCAGAGTACAATGTCTTTGGTGCTTGAGTGATGGAAAAACTGTTTTAGCGTCGGACACACACCAGCGAATTCGGGGTTATAACTTTGAGGATCTTACAGACAGGAACATGTAAGTATCAGGTTTTGAATTCCTGGCTGTGTGAGAAGATTGAGAAAGTGTGTGGGGCAGGATGAGAAACAACTTCTTGGAATGCTCTTGGAACGCTGTCTGTATTAAATGGAGAATAACATGGGATAAAAATTTGTGGTTTCCAACTGCAGCTAGATGTGTTAGGTCAAGTATTAGAAACAATTTCGTAAGCACAGGAGTTTTCTTGTCAATGTTTTGGCATTTTTGTTGTTGTGTTGTGATTGCCTCACATATATAGTATATCCATCCATTAATATATCCTGCTTTAATGTTAGGAGCTGTATTTGAGGCATCAGGTCCATTTAGTCCTGGAATTTATCATAAGTATAAGAAAACTAACAAACTGTTGCAGGCCTGGCTAGTATTGACATAGAGAAACACTAAATATCAAATAGAAATTCAAATTCAGCACCGTCTTTCTCTGCTGATAGAAGTGCAGAGATGGGACATACTCTTTGTCATGGTGTTGCACTATTATTTGGTTAAGCATACTCTTAACAGTGATGTCTTTCAATTTCAGAGTACAAGAGGATCACCCTATAATGTCGTTTACTATTTCAAAAAATGGCCGCTTAGCTTTGTTAAATGTAGCAACTCAGGTGAGTTTGTGACAACTCCAAATGGAACTGCAAATAAATCTGTTTGCAAGTACTAACTGCTTTTAATTTTCTTTGCTTTTATCTTGATGGAAATTGGAATATTTGATATTAACCAGTTGTATTTAGTTTAATATGAAAACCTTAATGTCATACTACATTTGTGAATATTCTGTGACAAGAAAGTAATCTTATCCTTGAGACTTGCTTTTTGAAGTGATTTATAATCAAGGCTTTAATACTATGAAAAATGTATTCTTAAATGTAATTATCTGGCAGTAACACAGAGAAACTAGAAAATGCAAGAATTGTGGGAGGTTGACAAATCTGGGGGTGAATAGAGGAGGTGTTGGGATTAAATTAAAATATATGTATTTCTGGTTTGGGGACCTTGATTAAGTATAGTTTTCAAAATGGATGGTGCTACAGCCAGGAAGTTGCAGCTAGCAATTTAGAGTATCTTTACTCTCTTGATCTAGTAACACTACCAAAGTTGTCTGAAGTAGTGCACTTTCATCATATTTAAACTTTTTATAAAAAGTTTCAAAAGAATGTAGTGGGTAAAGTTCAATGGTTTAAAACAAAGAATCTTCTGTACTTCTGATTCACAGGGAGTTCACTTATGGGACTTACAAGACAGAGTTTTAGTGAGGAAGTATCAAGGAGTTACACAAGGATTTTACACAATTCACTCATGTTTTGGGGGTCATAATGAAGACTTCATTGCGAGTGGCAGCGAAGGTAACATCATCCCTTTTGTACAGAAAACTGGAATGCTGTATCCTTCCTATACCTTGCTGTTATAATGTTAGCATCTGTAATCTCTAAAAACAAGCAAATGGTTCATTGCATAAGTCTGAGGAGCACCAAAATTATAGCATACTTCAAGAAGTAATTGTGTGCTAGCAGAATGAATCTTTTGACAGATTGGTGCCAGGAGAAAGCACTAATGAATTTATTGTGTTGTCCTCTAAAGCATCTGAACAGTTTTAATTAAAAGTGGGTGGGATGTTCTTGAGGGTTTTTTCTTTCCGTGGAAGGATGCACTTATGGCTTGAATCAGAAATACTACTACAGAGTAATGGCCTCATTTGCCTGTTGAAGGTACAGGTGTGGTGAGGTGATCTGAATTTCAGTCAGAGTTGCCAGCTTCATTACAGAGGAGTAGTCTCAAATTAAGCAGTTGCTGACATATTACTAAGGAGCCCTTCTAGAATCAAAGGCTTTGTGTGATGTGTTTTTATTCACATTTTCTGTGGTAAGGAAAGAAATTATTAATGGCTTGTGTCTCGAATTGATTCAGTGCTGTTGCTGATGTGATGCCATCACCTCCCACAGAGGTTACGTGCAGGGCTAAGGATTACACTTTGAAATATAATCACTGTGTAACTCATGTATGTTAGAAAATAGGACCAGGACATTGCTAATATCCTCTTTTAGAAAACAGCAAATACATCTAAAATCTTTTCTTTGACAAGGACTGCTGGTAGATGATACTGACTGAAGGTCAGCATCTCCAATCCAGTGCGAACCTCTGTGGATCAACAAGTTCCCTGTTTTCACTGTCTGTAAACTACTCGGCACTTGTAGGTGCTTATGCCACCTTATTTAGATTTGGTCTACCTGAGGCTATTGCCTCTGCACAATTTGGAATTGTTGCAAATGTGGCTACTGACAAAAAGTCACTGTTTAAACAAACAAACCAAAACAATGAAACAAAAATGTAATGGATTACGTTGTCATAACCTCTTACGCTTAGGAGGTCGCCCTGTCAGCTAGGTAGACCTTTTTTTCCTAACAAATTAATCAGTAGGAAGAAAATGAAGGTCTCTTTCTGAACAGGAAATCGGCTGCTGCCTTACTAGTATGTTTTTTCAAAAACAAAATACAGGCATTCTGACAAGCACCAGAATACTGGTTTGTGTTTAGGCTTTGATTCTCCTAGACAGCAGAGGCTTGCGTGTCCAGTATTTAAGCAGAGAGTGAATTGTTTGATGAATATTTGATGAATAGCGTGGATGTGTAGTCTCCTGAAATCAACCAGAACATTTGCGTGAATACAAGTGTGTGTAAAAGTGTTGTACTCAAACGAGCTGGTTCAGCAGAAGACAGTTGAGTTATCACGTGATTCCGTGATGCTGTTCTAGCAGGTAGGTCAGAAAGCAAGTTTGTTTTGTAGGGGATTGGGAAGAGGAGTAGAGAAGGATTGTTTTGTTTGCTAAGTCTTCAGAATGACTTATGCATCAAAACCTTCCAAACAGATTAAAAAACAGACAAAAAATGATGCTCAAGTCAGTATGTTAGTACTTACTGTTTTTGTAATGCCAGTAATGCACGTTTGTTCAGTTTAAATAGCTCTATTTGGAATATTCCAAAGGCTTACTTAGCAAGATCAACCCACACGGTTGTTAAAGGCTGCTAATCTACTGTTGGGAGGAAAAAAATGCTTAGTCTTAAGTATGGTTGGTTATAAAACAAAACATTTTAAAAAATGGCAGTGGAGTGGACCATTTCACTTTTTCATTTCTTGTTCTATCTTGCAACAAAGAACTAAAAGCTTCCTTTCACAAAATAAGATCTGCAGGATTGTTTATTGCATCTATTTGTACTTGAATACAACTCAGGAATGAATTGCTGTCAAAAGCAGAAATAGCTTGTAATTTGATACATTAAGTGGAATATGGCAAGTCTCTAGTAGCAAGATTTATTCCATTAACTGCAGAGCTGTGATCTGATCTAGTGCATAGTAACATGTGGTGGTTGTAAATATTCTAGTATTTGTGATTTATAATCAGGTATTAATCTGTAAATATGATTGTTTATTTAAAAAACTAGTAATAATGTAAGTGTTCCCTTTGAATAAGATTACAACTATATATTCTTAAGAGTAAGTAGCTCAGCTTGTTTTTTATCTATGTACTGGCTTATTTGCATTGCAGTCACATGTTTTTCCTGCGAGGCTTAAAAGGAAGCATCATGTCCTCAGTGGAAGATCTTTGCCCATACTCTTTTGATCGCTTTCAGAAGAAAAAAATGTAGTGCTGTTGCCCATTCAGCAGATGCAGGTTTTATAAGAATGCTCATGTCTTTGTAATGGCTGAGAGCTTGCATGGAAATGCTGCTTGATATAACAAATCGATCTGTGTAGAGCAATGTTTCTCATGTTTTTCTTTAATGCACGTTTTCTTTAGATCACAAAGTATATATTTGGCACAAGCGTAGCGAGCTGCCAATTGCGGAGCTGACAGGGCACACACGTACTGTTAACTGTGTGAGCTGGAACCCGCAGATTCCATCCATGATGGCCAGCGCCTCTGATGATGGCACTGTTAGAATATGGGGACCAGCACCTTTTGTAGACAACCAGGATATTGAAGGTGAGTGTGTGTGTGTGTGTGTGTGTGCATGCATGCCTGTTTTCTAATTGCTATCAACTGCCTCAGTGGGTTTTCTGTGCTGTGGAGAAGCGTTTCCAAACTGATGCTCCCAATTTCTCACATGGCCGTACAGGAAACTGCGATGTCACTGAGACCTCACTATTACATTGACTAACTTGTGTAGACTTCTAAAACATTGCCCCTAGTGCTTGAAGTGCATGTAATGTCATTAACGTTGAAATAATGCATTCTGAGCAAGTATCATGCTATTACAGTGTTTACACAAGTGTTCTCCTGAGTCTGGAGAGTGAAATTTTTGCATCCTACAAGCTGTACATGATTGGTTCATTCCTGATCATCAGACGTTATCTGTGTCTTGGAGAGAGCCACATGTTAAATAAGTGTAACTTTTTTCACTGTCAAAATGCATGTTCTCCCAGCCCTTCTTACCTAGTCCTCAGAATTATTAGCAAGATGAAAACTAGGGGATTGTTGTACAGCTTGTAGACTTCCGTCTTTTAAGTTGCCCTGTATTGGATGCTGAGTGTGGATGTTATTTCAAGGGGAACCAAACAAAGTAATCAAAGAGAAATCCATGAAGTGTGAGCAGATAAGTAAACACTTCTAGTTCAGAATGTCCCTCAGGTGAAAGTGGCTGGAAGTTGGAAGGATGCTAAGACTAAGGTTCATCTCCTTTCCCTGTTCCTATGCTTTCTGACTATTTCTAGTACTGGATTAGGTTGACCAGCCTTGCCAGTCTCATTTGTAACATCTTGAACGTAACACACGGACCTGAAGCCTATGCTCCAGCTTGCTTCACTTGTATTTGGATTTTTGTTTGCTTCCAGTTACCTGCCTACTTACTTTCTTAGTTTCTCCAGAAAATGATTTATTAAAGTCTATTAAAAATAGAAATGATAAAAACTGGATTTCTCGTGGCAGTACATCTACAAGAAATGTAGATGCACAGAACATATCTCCAGCAACTTGGGAACTTTAAATTGGTGGCAGGCAGCTTTGTAATTAGCACAGTCCCCCTGGAACTTGAATGTAAATGTATGTACTTCATTGAACAGGCTGCCCAGGGAGGTGGTGGAGTCACCGTCCCTGGAGGTGTTCAAGTAACAGTTTAGATGTTGTAGTAAGAGACATGGGCTGGTGGGAAATATTGATGATAGCTGGATGGTTGGTCTGGATGATCTTAAAGGTCTTTTCCAACGTTGGTGATTCTATTCTGTGGTCTATTTTGCAAGAGGCAATTTTCATGTACCAACAGCTAACGTGCTAAGTTTAGATATTATGAGCGATGATATCTAAAGCTGCTAATTTTTACTATGGGATTTAGTTGCATTATAAATTCCAGTATAACTATGCATGCTTAGTAACACTTAACACAGTGTATTTATGTAATGTAATTATAGAAATGCTAACTGTTGATAAGATCTTCAAGGTTTGATTTTTTTTTTTCTCTTGTGTTTTTGTTTTTGCTCAGAGGAATGCAGTAGCATGGATAGTTGATGGCGAATTTGGAGCAGACGACTTCAGTTTAACTTAATTAGTCGTATTTTAAATGGCTTGGGATTTGGTGCAAACAAACATGATTGATAGCTGGACAGACATGCTCGTCATGAAAAAGAACCATTTCTGAAGCCCGGTTGGGGCCAAACATTTACCACCTTGCTTCATAGTAACCAGTCAAGATGAAGCACGTCGTTAGAACGTTGTTGGACACCGTGTTGAAATTACCCCCCATCGGTTGTGAAGAACTGTGCTACATTCAGGCTAACCATTGAACTCAGTATATATTTTTCCCTCCTGCCTTTTTGTCTGGCAGGCTACTGTTCTTGTTGCTCTTCTGTGTAATGAAGTTTAAATGCTTGTTTGGAACACTTTATTTAAGAGTTTAGAAGGCTTGATAGAAAGAGTGCTTTAGTCTGAAGAGTATACATTGGATAGGAAAGTATTTCCTTCTCTTGTTTCTCAAATCTCTCCGCCTTACTTAGCTTGAGATCTTTGCAGCTTGGTTCATGGATTCTAGCCTTGCCCGTTGCGCAGTATATATAAATTGAGATAAACCAATGAACTATGTCAAAAGCACTCTCAATATCACATTTGACAAAAAGTTTTGTACTTTTCACATAGCTCGTTGCCCTGCAAAGGGGTTAACAGCACAATTTTTTAAAAATAAATTATTTATAGGATTAAAATGACTTCATTTGTATACATTTGGAATTAAACCAATGCAAGAAGAAATGTGGAATGTGGTATCACTGATGCTCTTCCAGAGTGTCTTGACACCCAATCAAAAGCAGTGGCTGCAAGGAGCTTTACGTAGGCAGCGAAGCTTGTTTCAGAAGGAGAAACTCACTGTCCATATGAAAAGATAAATTGTATTATTTAGGGAAACAAAGAAGTGTTCAGAGTACACCAGGAGATTAAGAGCTTAAACAAGACAAGGTCTTTTTTTTTTAGTTATATAAATATATGCAACAATACTGATAAAAGGTAAACCTCAACAGAAGAATGTGCTGAATTCTTTATTTGCAAAGTCAACATTTTGTAGAAGTAATGAACATTCAAATCATAGATAACTTGTTTTGCAATGGAAAACTTTCTTTATTATTTGGTAAACAAAGATGTTTAGACTTTGAGAATTTACTTCTTAGTTTGCAGGCTTAAAAGTCTCTCCTGGACATTGTTGCAAGCTGGTGCTGTGAACACGTTAATGCTTTTTGGAACAGTTCCACTAATATGCCATGTTTAGCAAAAAGAGACATTTATAATTGAAGCTCTTTTTTTTTTTTTTAATAATAAACAGATGGCCTGGCATCTCTATGCTTCTGCACTACACACAAATTCCTTGTGGGATGGCACTGGATTTCCTTTCCCACCTTGGGTAGAATGGTAGTGTTGTTAGTGCTCTGAAGTAATGAGGGAGCAGGAGAGGGCATGCCACCAAGGACAATGTGAATGGAAGTGTGAACTCACAAGATCCACAATAATCTAGTGACATTAGTCATGTATGGAAGAAGGATGAGGGAAGGTTTGCCTGAGTTCCTGGGAAGAGCATGTAGCCACTTTGATGAGTGGGAATGTGGTGCTTAACATAAATAGTCTCTTTTTTTTTTTCTTCCCCAAGAAAAATGAAGTGCAGTTCAGCAGGTCAGATTTTTCTTTTTAAGAGTTCAGTAATTGGGTGGGTTGGCTTGTTGGTTGTTTTTTTCCTTGCCCTGTGTAATCTGCAAGATGATTTAAGATTCTGATAATCTCGTTGAAACCAGCTCTGAATCTGACATACTCATGTTCAGTACCTCCGAAATGAAGTAGGAACTTAACATTCTTATCTTCAGTTTAAGTTTGTCTTAAGGTGAATTGCTGGGATAGTAATAACTATTCCTGTAGGTTCTGAGTAGTACGTATGTAAATTGAAGGCTACAAATCCGTTTCTCTCCCATTCTCTCATTTTAGAGGAGGTGTTTCTGTTGCTGTTATGTTGGACAGCATAAGATTAGTCAGTCTTTCTCCTGTGGCACTGATATTGCAGGGAAACAAAGTTTTCCTACGGTCAGTTTTTAGTAAACCTAACTTCTGGTTTAAAAACAAACAAACAAATCCACACCAAAAACAGTGTTTTCCATCTTCAAAACATGGTATAATTCATAAGCAATGGTAGCATGGGAATCTTCAGAGGTTACCTCTGTTTTGTCATACTCTGAAGCTCTGATTTTTAAATGAAGTGTTACTTAGGGAGAGTAGAGAGGAGGGAGATCAGTTCTGGTTTGTGTCTCGTACAACAGTCTGGCACTACTTGCTTACCTCGTACTCATTGGACTTCAGTGGAAGGTTCAGGCAGGTGTTGAAGGATCAAAGTCTCGTTTAGACTGAAAGTCTCACATGCATTTCAAAAGGCATTTTTCATGTGGTTAGCAGTACCTAAACCGAAGTGAGACTCCTTACCTGGTACAAGCTATATGTGGGTACGTATGAGCTGATTTCTACTTTCTGCTGCAATGCATTGTAAATAAAAATTGGAACCTAGTGCTTCTTCCAAAATCTGACCTCTTCTGAAATAGGTATGTACCTCTAAAGAACACTTCAGGTATTTAGAAGCAAGTTAGTTAGAAACGCGTCCTGATATCTCTGCTTTAATTTAGTTTTGTGGTGCAACTATGCAACATAAAGGAAGGTTCCTTTATCGTACAGATGGCATTCTTTCCAATGTCAATTCCATCATACTGCATAGATGTCAGCTTGTGCCATGTAGCGTGCAGAGATGAGAGAGAGAATTTTACCACAGTACTTGATCCCACAGTGAAGCTGTGCTACAGATCCAGTGGTAGTGAGAACCAATCTAACCTGGCAGTTAAAGAGAAACCCAGACTGTTTCTAACATGTTGTGTATTCACAGTGCATCAATTGAAAAGTACCAGTACTTTTTGTGCGCAGACGATAAAATGAGACTTTGAGGGGGAAAAAAAACCAAGCTTGCTCATGCAACACATTGATTTCCACATGCTTAAATATGCTTGTAGGCTGGAGTCAGGCTGGAACAACCACATACCTGCAATAAACACTGTGTTTCTGGTGAACAGTTTCAGAGAGGAAAATACTGTAAGAGTGTACTACACTTTCCTAACTTTCTTTGGTAAGGTCTTTGCTTAATTTTTGCAGTAGCCACAGGTAATTGCCAAGGCAGATCTTTTAAAAAAAGAAAGCTGAAGCATTTTGTTATCTGAATGCTCATTGGCTGTTCAGGTAAGTAATTTTCAAGGCACAATGGAGCACGAAAGGGAAAACAAGCAGTGATGCTAGATTTGTCCTTGTTTGGGTGGGTGGGGTAATAGGGGGACGTGACACCTTCATTTCAAATTCTCTGTATTTTCTCAAGTTCTTCAAAGCTGACTTCATTTTTATGATTAGAGCAAAGGAGCAAGCTAGAAAGCTTTCCTGATCTTGCCTGTTACTTCTCATCTTGGCTTCAAACAGGTAATGTTGAATAAAACCCAGTATGCTTGGGAGTTTATGTCTAGTTGTATCTCCTTACGCTGATAAGCAGCGCTCCCATCCAGAACCAGTTATGAAGGCTTCCTTAGAAGGAAACAAGGACTTGTACAATTAGCTGTAGTTCGAAGGGGAAATGCAGACCCACATGGGGAGGTAGAGAAAGAGGAATGAAGATGAAAAGCTGGATTTACTGACAAACTACTGTAACTCAAGGGGGAGGAGGAGAAATGCACTTTCAATAGTTTGTCCATATTTTTTTAGCTACAAAACACACCTGTATTTGCTAAATGGTTTTCTTTTTGTTGTTGTTATCTTTGGAACAATTGAGGAACATCCTTCCCATAAATAGCTACACTTTTTACCTCCTCCTGTCTTTTCCACGTTGGCTGGAGACCATTTTCAGCTGCCATACTTAATGTCAAAAAAACTGCTACTTTTAAAGATATTTTGAACTTCTTAACTCTGACACTTTTTTAAACAGGGTGGACTTAATTGAAGTGTGCAGTGTTGAACTGCTGCTGCGGTAGCTGCCTCTAGTTGTTGAACTGTAGACAAGTTTTTTTGTTTGTCGATCCAGGTTATCTGGATTCAATAAGAAGTCCGTGAGAGTGTTCCTCCCATCTGGTATGAATGTGTGTGTGCGTGTGTTCCACAAACAGACATAGAACCAAACGTTCTAGGTACTTGTCATGTTTTATTGCATACTTTGAGTCGTGCGTATGTGAAGTGTCCTCTGACCTGAAGGTTTTGGTTAATATCAGTATATTTTTATAAATTGGAAATTCATCGTGCCCCATCTTTTCCTTAAACATCTTTCATTGTTAGGGTCTATGTGCTAGATTTGAATCTTAACGTTTTTAGGCACAGATGGAAAAAGTTATTGGCTCCTTGAAAACACATGGGACAAAATGGATCCTCAAAGCATGTATGTACTTACAAACCAAGCTGTAGAGATCAAGAAAAGAACTTTATTGTTGATCTCAAGATTTCTAAGTTGTCAAGATTTATATGGAGTTGTGGTGGAACTAGTTAACACTTAGAGCTTTTGGTATGTAATGACTATTTGCTATGGACTGATATTAAATGTTTCAAAGGATTGCGTTCTTAAACTCTGGATTTTTGTTACTCTCCTCGGATTATATTAAGTAGTTAAAATTTCTTTGCTATATTACATTAAAAACATAAGAACTTTGGGTCTCGTATTTATTTTCACTCATTTTACTAATTATTTACAGAACACCGTTTTAACTTTTTTATTTTATAAATGTGTAGTATTTTAAACATATCTTTACAAATTGTTCAATTGGAACTACATTAACTTCTGATTTGTTTTTATTAGGATTTTTAAAAAAAAAAAAAAAACAATACACTTTTTCCATGTTGGTGCACAGCACTTAACAGAAATGTTTGTATTCCCTTTCTTTCAATTCAATAAACAGAATAAATAACTGGAATGAATAGTTCTTAGTTTCCTAAGCTTCACTTATGTGACTATCACTGGGATGTTCATTTCTTGATCATTAATTGTAAAGTTCTTCCACATTTGCAGCATTTTATTTTTTGATAGGAGAAATCACTTGTGACAGCTCAGCTGAATTCTCCTACTGCTGTGTGCAGCTCTCCAGTTTTTGGCTCTGATCTCCTCCCACTTTTCGACTGCATGGAAGCAGTTCAGCGTGCTGCTCACCTGCATCCCATTCTGTGCTTATTTATGTTGTTGAACACCTGCTCTTTGAGGCTGGATGAGAGCCTTCTTTCTTAATGCTGGAGCTTACTCAGGTATCATAAGCAGGTTGCTGACCATAACCCATCTATACCTACAGTTCTTTCCCACAATAGGCAGGTGCTCTTAAAGTACTTCTGTTTCTTGCTTAGGCTTCTCTTACCAGCTGCACATCAGGAACATCTTATCTGAAGTTGATTTAAGCAGCTTTTGTGGCTCTTGAACCCACTCATCTGTTGCTTTTTTTTCCTTCCACCTAACCCTGCATTCTTGTTTCTCCTCCTACCTTGCAGGATAAAGTTGAGGTGCCATTGTATTTTGTATGTACTGGTACCACAGACAGAGTTGTTCAGCTGTAGCTAGCGTTCTGATAAGTAAAAACTGTACCTAAATTTGCCTTCTACTTCCTGTAAGTTTTCCAACTTTGAACACTTTGGCAAAGCGTGTTCCATTTTTTAATCCTTTCAGCTTCTATCTGGA